AAAAGCCAGTAATCAAGCATAGTAAAAATTCAGGGTTTGTATGTTATATTTACATTTTTGTTACCTTTATTAAAGAAGAAAGTGTTTAAGGGGAATTTACTGGACTGTGTTTAAAAAATACATCATTAAATATATCATTAAAACCAAGGAATTTTTTACCTCTATAAATATCACTGAAATTTCACTTATGACACTTGATTGCTATTTTTTCTTTTATGACCCATAAGTTAATACTTATAAAGACATAACCAACAAAACATACTGTGATCAATTTAGATGAGCTACTGAAAAACACAAACATTGTTCAAGCCCAGAAGCTCTCCTAGGAGTTGATGGACAGAATGCATCCATCTAGTGAAAGTGAGCCTCTCAGGTCTTGGTTCTCCACAGGGAGATGAAATGATACGGTCCCTGGTAAAGCACAGACAGAAGGTGTCAACTAAACAGTTGAGGACAGAAAAAGGTAGATAACAACTGGTCAAGGAACAACTTCAGAGGAGATGGTAATGAATATTGGTGTTGCCCACCTTAGTGTTGAACCTCAGTGTATGGCATAACATGACTGCTATGAGAAACAGGAAACTGAGTGTGGGAAAGTCTGCAATTTGTACAGTAAGAAGGAGAAAAAGATCTACAATAAGGACAGACTTCTTTTATCACTAGAAATAAATGTGATGAGAAAAATCCAACTTTCTTTTTAAGGCTACCAAAATACAAATATATTTTCTATAATTTTTGTATAGATCATTGCTTGTCCTATGAAATGTCATGCAAAAATTATCCTGCACATCATGTTTCAAGATCAATATGCATGTAACTTCCAATAAATAATATTTGGTTTTTGGTTTTTTTTTCTCTATTTCTTGTAGTCTGAGAACTAGGATATTGCCACTAGCTACATCTATGCTTAAATGACTGGTAATTTACTTTCTACAGGGTTAGCCATCACATACACAAAGGTAGCATAATTGTTAAACTTGTAAACATACCATAAGTACAAGATTTTTAGATGAAAAGCAAAATATTGCAGAAATAATATTGCTAAGGATCGTATATATATATGCCACTATTCTTGAGAATGAAAAATACATTCTAATCAATAAGAAAAAAAATCCACTTTTTTCGTGTAAAGTAGGAAGTAGTTTGATACATGTTGAATTACTGGGCTTTTCTGAGTATTTGAATGGCATTTACTCTCAAAGTTTGCCTAGTGTGAGTTTTTAATACTGAACAAATTTAGCTCTAATACAGACACCGATGGGAGGATCTTCTTAAGACATGAGGAAGAAGAAGACTTATAAAACCTGCAGCCTGGATAGGACTTTAATTACAGCAAAGGCAACCTCTCTAACTAATGACAAAAATGATCTAATGTCAAAGGTATTTGTGCTGTTCTAGTGGCTTTTCTACAGTGTCAGTGTCAATACACTTCACTTTTGCTTTAGAAATATTATTTAACATTACTCTTTACTTTTACTAGTATTTGAAAATATAAAACTTAGTGCTTAACATGTTCAAAAAACATCTAGGTGTAGCACTTAGGAACATGGTTTAGTAGTGAAGGTTGGGCTTCATGATCTTTGAGGTCTTTCAACCTTTATAATTCTATAAAAAAATCATTGGTTATCAAATCAAATCAAAACTTTATTAAAATAAAACTATGACTAAAAGAAAAAAATATTTTTTAAAAAGTATTTATAGTTTGCATAATTATATTCTGTTGCAGAAAACAGAAATATTATTTTGCAAAGGAACTCATGATTTTTAAAAGGTCATTCTGTTTATATAAGAAATAAAGATATATACATTATCAAAAAAAAGTTTCAGAAAGAGGAAGAAAAAGACTTTGGTTGACTAGACTATTTAATCTGGATTTCAATTTTATATTTTCAAAATGAAAAATTTTATTTGTATCCAGAAAACTGCTTATAGACAAGCTTTTTCCTCCTTTTTCTATCTCTCTGGGCTGTGTTTTGTCACTAATATCATGTGTCAGAGTAATGACCCCTGTTAACAATATATTAATATTTACCCAGTTACTGAACCGAAGCACATGATCATTCCTCAGTAAACATAAGAAGGTAGTAATAAGGTGACATATATAATTCAGCTGATCTGTTGTAAATATGTCCAATTGACACCATGGTAATGTGCTCATGTAGATCTGCTGAACTACTTCTGTGTTAATTTGTGAGTTCCGAGATGGCTGTTTGATAGTGACAAACAACATGTGAAAAACCTATAAGATTTCCAGGTATCCTTGTTCGAACAGCTAACTGCTACTGAACATCTCAATATTACAAGATGATTTCTCAGGACAAGTACCTGCAAATCGTGAGCAGTCAGTTTAGTCTTTAAAAAAAATTTTGAAGAAATTACATTTTAAAAAAATTGAAATTACATTATTGAAAAAAATGGTTTGAAGAGAAATAATGGATCCATAATTCCTTCAATCACACTTAAAGATTCAAATATTTTAAAATGTTTCAATATTAAAGTCACTTTTTTTTTTTTTTCAGAGGATGTCAGATCTCTAAATACAAGTGATATCTGTGATTGTCCCAGTTCCTGAAGGGAGCCTACAAAAACAACAAAGTGAGAATATTTACAAGAACTTGTAAGGACAGGATAAGGGGAAATGGCTTCAATCTGAAGGAGAGTATATTTAGATTAGATATTAAGAAGAAATTTTTTATTGTGAGGATGGTGAATCACTGGTACAGGTTTCCCAGAGGTGTTATGAATGCCCCATCCCTGGAAGGGTTTAAGGCCAGGTTGGATGGGGCTCTGAGCAACCTGGTCTAGTGGAAGGTTTCCCTGTCCATGGCAGGGGGGGTTGGAATGAGATGATATTTAAGGTCCCTTCCATCCCAAACTATTCTATGACTCTATGATTTTCCAAGAACCATTCTATTGATTGTTCTAAATCAGAACTTCAGTATCTTCATGCCTTTAGGGACTTGTTGGGGCATGTCATAAATGAGTGTTTAAGGTCACTTAAAAAACCACCACAGGGTGTTGCTGCCTTTTTCGTTTTTTTCATTTTTAGTGAAAAATTAGGATAATAATGTCTTGGTTACCATCAGAAAAAAAATAAAACAAAACAAAATAAATTAAAAAACCCCTACCTTTTTGACTGGGTTTATTTGAACATATAATTCTGACAAAGGTTAAACACTTTCCTAAATCTAATCCTATTTTCATAACATGCTATTTTCATAATATAATCTCCTAATTCATAACACAGCCCCTAATTTGTGGTGCTGATATAAAAACCCTTTAACAACTTTAACAACAAATTTCAACAGCTGATCCTCAAAGTCTGGAGAGTTTAAAAATCAAGACAAATAAATCCAAAATATTGGAAAAATTATTAAATAGAAGCTTTGCCTTAGTTTCAAATGCTTAACTGCCGGAGACTGAAAATCAGGAAAGAAGTATTGAAAGGTGCATGTAGAGCATAGTACTCACTGGTTAAACTTTCACTGCAGGTGAATCATTGATTTTATCATTTAGAATCATCTTGTACAGAGAATAACAGTAAAGAGCAGGAAGACATACAGGAGAGGTTCTGTCAGGATCAGACTCTAAATTGTAGCAAGGGAGAAAGGGAGGTGGGAGGGAGAAAGCCACTTACTGTTTTTTCTCGTGCTGCTTCCACGTGGTCGGTTCCTGGCAAAGGTGTTGTTTGAACAGGAATTTCTTCTTCCTGAGCCTTTTCAGTTTTCAAAACCGTCTGTGAAATCCCAGTTGTCAAATCCTCTTTCTTAAAATCCTCTTGCTCCTTAGCTTGCAGTCCCTTATAAGGTGCTTCAACTTCTTTCTGTTCAGCAACATGGTCTTTAATCTCAGCTCTAATTTGTTCTTTTTTGTCCTCTGGATGTGGTGTGCTCGTTTCTGGGAGCACAGTTTTTTTATCTTCTTCCAACGTGCTTAGCGATTTCTTTTGGTCTGAACTTACTGTTACAGGAATTTTATCTGTTGAAGGTGTCTTTGACAGTTTCTCTTGCTGAATTTTTGTTTCTTCTTTTTGATCTTCCTCTTGGATTTTCTCCACTGATGAAGTTTTCCTAATTTTCTCACGTTGAAGTTTTGGATCTTCTTTCTGAATCCTATGTTGGATTTTATCAACTGAAACTGCCTTTGGCATTTTGATTTCCTGAAGTTGTGCATCTTCCTTCTGAGCTGCAGGTTGGATTTTGTCAGCTGACAGTGCCTTTGCCATTTTCATCTGTTGGAGTTTTGGGTCTTCTTTCTGAATTCCCTGTAAAATTTTGTCAGCGGAGGGTACTTTCGCCAATTTTGCCTCTTGAAGTTTTATGTCTTCCTTCTGAACTCCATGCAAAATTTTATCAGCTGAGGATGTTTTTGCCAGTTTTGCTTCTTGAAGCTTTTCATCCTCCTTCTGAACTTCATGCAAAACTTTATCATATGAGGCTGTCTTTGTCAGCTTTGTTTGCTGAATCCTTGGGTCTTCCTTCTGAGAAACACGCTGGATTTTATCAGCTGAGGGTGTCTTGACAAGTTTTCCCTGCTTAAGTTTTGCATCTTCCTTTTGAATCCCTTGTTGAATTTTATCAGCTGACAATGTTTTTTCCAGCCTCCCCTGTTGAAGTTTTGGAGCTTCCTTCTGAACGCCTGGTTCTTCTTTCGGCTTCGTTGCTGCTGGAGTAGGCGGTGTGGAAGTCTTCTGAGGAGAATGTGAGACAGCAGGCATAGGCTGTTTTGGAGGAGTAGCAGGTGGTTTGGATACTGGTTGTGAAGGGCCTGTTTTTGGAAGTGGCACCTTGCCCATATCTCCAAGTTGTCCTGACATTGCCCTTTGGGTCTGGCAGTTTAAGCACAGCCATTCCTGTACCTGTGATAGAACAAAATTACGAAGTTACTTATTTCAAAAAGTAACAATTAAATCATACAGTGTTTTCAACTGATATGGTTGAATTCTTTTAATTTGAATGCTATGCATGCTGAGAAGTTTTCTTTCTTTTCTACTCTTGCAGGAAGATCCATAACACCTTTCTAACAGAAATGGAGCATGTCAGGTTCCAGACAGCCAAGCTGAACAAGTATAAAAAGACACTGTAAAAACTAACAGCAGTGACATTTTTCCAAAGAAATGATGCCCTGTATGTACAAAGTTTACTTATATATTTCTAACATTTATTGTTTTCTAAAGCCTCTATAATCCCTCAGTAGGTTCGTCTGAATTTGCAAATGTGAGTAAAAGTGGACCAACTGGGACTCATGGCTCTTTGTGTTTCTCTTCAGAAATCACCTTCCCCTCTTGACTTTGTGTATAGATATCAGTGCAGCGTATAAATGTAGTATGGCTGTAACTCAAAAGGAAGATCACCTGTCTGCTCACTATACTGCTAAATCCCTGTTGCACACTGGCTCCTTTTACTCTTCTTCCCAGAAAATCAGAAAAAGGGCAAATGCTTCTATCTGTGCAAAAGATCTTGTTGCCAGTTGCCTAGTTACTACATGACAGCAGTAATCAGACTGTTTCCAGTGGGATTTTGTGTTTAGTTCCTTTAAAATAGCAAAAGAAAACTTTAAACATAGAAAGGCACTGAAAGGAAAGGGAAAAAAAAAAACAAAACAGGCCAGACTCTTGTGAATACTAGAATAGATAATGAAGGTCTACTTCAGTAGTGTAAAATGAGCTTCACTCTTGGATAAGAGGTGTGTGCTGAACATTAAAGTTTAGATTAAAAAATAGCTGATTAAGCAAATAAGTGAAATACAAATGCAAAGAATCACAGATGAAGTGATAAAAAATTAAGTAAGAAAAGATCATAAGGGCTAATTTTATTGAAATGCAAGTAAGGAGAGGCTATTTAATGTATAAAATTATTTGTTTCAGGCACAAGAAATGCACAAGAATGCATGTGTTATAATTCAGGTCATCTAACAATTGCCTTGTATATTTATTATTCTATTTTTATAGAAAAGACCAAATTAATGAGTCCTAGAAATTGACACAAAAAAGATTTATTAATAGTATCTGGAATTATTTTCCCAATAAATGCAGTTTATTGGCTGAATCAGCTGTCTCTCCTGACAGTTACTATACCTTTTGTAACATTAAACTGAATGTGGCTCTGTGTCAGACTATTAAATATAATTTAGGTTTAATTTTTCTGTTGAAAAAAGCATTAAAACATAATCCTCGAGGAAAGATTATCCTTTTCCATAGGACTTAAAGTGTTCCAACTACACCTTGTTTGTCTGGGAAGCACTAATTAAGAAATAAAAATAAAACTAACTTTTTTTTTTTAATGAATGTCCAAAATATAACTTAGTTGTCTTGCAAATATTTCTGTTAGATGGGTTTATCTGAAATTCTTATTATAGTTTTCTCCCTTTTCCCAGAAAACAATATTGGAAGCCATAAGTATGTTGTGTACCGTCTTTCATAACCTTAAAATAGAAGCAATACTCAAGGAAACAAATTTGCCCACAGAGAATCATGATATTATTATTAGGAGTCTGCAATTGACTAAATATACTAGATAACATTTAGCATAAATAGACTACAGGAAAAAGATGTAATTTCATAACAACTTTGATTCTTTTCTCATAAAGTTTGTGAAGACCAATACACAATGTTGACTAGATAATTATCATTGATTTTTTTTTTTTTTTAGTTTATTGGGGGACCTGAAAGCTTTTAAACCTATTAAAAGGGGGCAGATTTTGGCTTTTCCATTCAGCCTGAAAAAATCCTCATTTCACAACATAAGCAGAAATAATGCCATTTTTATTTGTGCTAGGATAGCCTCTGTCAGCACAGGGCATGGGAATAAGACAGTACTTATACGCACTAAGCTTCTCAGAATCTACCCTTAAACATCTTTAATTACATAAAAACATAATGAAGTGATTCTTCTGCCATGAAATAATCCATGGTTCAAAAGATCACTGTTATATAGATATTCTTAAAGAACATGATACTTCATAATTTAAATGAACGTGTTCTTTTCACAGTGTCATTTGTTTGACCTATTTTATTTTTATTTCCATGCAATATATCCATACCCAGTTTGTAGAGGCTTTATGTTTGTTTCTTTTCTATCTACATTTGGTTCTACATCTACATTTGGCTTTTCTCCTAGCTGTACTTGTTATGGAGATCCCATTTAGTACCTCTCAACTGCAGCCCACTCACTGTTAATACACTTGCTCCCTCTCAGATTCATCAAGTCACTTCCCTTTCCCTCATTTAAATCCTTCCCAGACTCAGTTCTCTGAACTTTGTATAGTAACTTTAGCAATTTTAATAAGAGTATTAAGTGTTTTAAAACCATAACAGTTACCCAGTTACTGTTTCCTTTGCTCACTGTCCCTATTCAGTGTCTATTTCCTGGAGTAAATTTCTTCACCTCAAGGACTATGCTTTGTACTGAGCACATGGTACAACAAGTCTCTTAAAAATGAAAATAATGACAATTAGCATGAGGAAAAAAAGTGTGATGGCTTCTCTGCCATACCGATGAAAATGATGGTAGTGAAACAACCTGGAATTGTCAGACATCCAGTGATTTAATGAACCTTGCCATGGTTCTCTTGAACTTTTACTATATCTCCATATATTTATCAATTTATTTTTCAGTGTTGCTACAAAGGCAAGGCAAATAGCTATGTGTTTCAAATTCTAATCTAAGCTTTTTATAATCATGTGGATATTTGATCACAAAAGAGTCTACAAAAATCTTCTTATAGCACCAGCCCTCTAGCTCCTGATTCTCTGTCAGAATGGTTCTCTGTAAAATCAAATTTTGCACCATTAAGTCACATGCCTCAGTTGTAGACTTGTCTTTTCCTCAGTTAACCTCATGCCCTGAATGCAAGCTTTTTCCTAAGGCAATCTCTTCAGTTAGCCTGTCAACCCAAATTTATTAGGACTTGGGAAATGGGCATCATCTTCTTTCAGCAGTCTTCACCAGATAAATCTTCTTAGTTCTTTACAGAATTCTTCACATGCTTTGGTTCCTGAATTGGCAGTAGACACTATGATTGTCACTATAAGTGATACTACTGCTTCAATACTCTGAACCCATGGCTCTCTCTCTATGTTTTCAGCAAGCCCTACAACCTCATATTGCTGGACAAAGTAGCTGTGTCACAATGTTCTCCTCACTCAGTTTCCTAATAAACGAATGCCATCATGAAAAGGGCAGACATCTAACATTCATTGTGCATGACTATTTTTCAGTCATCATGCAAGAGCTCTGGCATTTCACTTTCTTTGCTTTTTTATTTAAATACCACAATGTTAGATAATTTTAAGTTGAAAGTAATAGGACAACTATTCCAGTTCCCTGTCAGTCAAGGATTTTGTGTTGCAGTATGTTGATAAACTTCTTTGGCACTCTTGGGAAATGCTATGTGGTAAATTAAGAGCTTTTCTCTAACTAAAAGTAACTCAAACTACTTCATATATTTGTGAAGGTGAAAACAAATGCTTCTTCCATTAAACATGTTTAAGTTACATCAGAAGGCAAATGTTTTAATTTCATTTAGATACCAACCAACCTCTTCCTTTGTCATTGCTGGATTATATATTTTTCCCTTCCTAATTCTTCCTCCATCCTGCTCTCAATAAAACAAAATTGTGAAACCAACGCAGAAAAAAAACCCCACTAATAAATAGATCTCTGAAAAATTAATATCTTTTTGATTTCACTGTAATAATAATCACATTGCAAATCAGAATCTTTATAAGAAAGTATGTGCTAATTATAAAAAAACCTGAATATATTTATGAAAAGAAAAGTACATTTTTGTCTCCCTAACTACCTCATAAACAAAATGGGAGAGAAGCAGTGCATTAAAATATTTTTCTTGTTACTTACATTTGCAATCTTGTTTTTTACTAGGTATAGATTTGAGCATGTTTTTAGAAAACAAATAAACAAACAAACAGCCCCCCACACACCTTTAAAAGTGAGATATCTCTGGTGTTCTAAGGTTCTAAGACAGTTTAACCTTAAATATTTATTTTTATTTGGTTTGGGTTTTGTTTTTACTGTCACAAGCTTGTACAGCATATTTCTGAGATCCAACATGACTAATCCCCTTAACAAAATAATAGAAAAACAGAGCTGACAATTAAAAAGATATCCACAATGCAGTTAGGATTGCTTCAGACTTAAATATATGATATACACACTGTGTGGTTTAATCTCAAATTTTTATAATAGTGAGATTGAACACAAGCAAACATCAACAGGAAATGAGCACACGGAATAGAAATCATCATACTGGATGTGGAAATGCATGATTATAGTCTGACAGTATTCATTAAAGTGTATCAGCATAAGAAAGCCAAATCAAGCAGTTATGAGATATACATAGTCCACAAAAAGTGAGCAATCCACATCTTACCCACATCTAAGTCATCCACTTGATTTAATAACTAGAAGAAGTGTTCCCAGTAACTACAGCTCTGCTAGTCCAATTCACATGTTTATAAAGTTTTAGAAAATATTTTGCAAGAAAGTTTAACTGATCCTTGAAGTTAAGAAAGAGGCCCAATACTAAAAGGCAACGTGAGTTTACGGGAGGAAGACTGTATCACATAAACACTGCATTTTTTTTCTTGGATAACATTATTTATTCTACAGGTAAAAATAAAATTATTACACATTGAGCATACCTGGATTCCAGCACAATAACTGAACTACAACTGTAAAATTATTAATCAAATTAGCAGAGATGAGTCAAGAAAGTGACAGCTAGAGAAAACACATCTCCTACGGAGGGAAATTACCCTACATCCTGCTTAAATTCCAATTACTTTTCTTATGTTTTAGTTACTTTAAAGTGGATATGTTTTCAGGCTTCGGAAGATTTTTTTTTCACATCCTCTTGCCCTGGAGAGATGTATTGTAGCATAAGACCAGAGTCAGTCATGCTTTCTCTTGTCAGGTCCCCATCCTGCTTGTTACAGAAAGGAGAGAAGGAACTCTTGAAATGCCCAGCCCAGAGGTTCAGATGTCTGATGCAAGGCCTAGGTTGGTGCAGCACAGCTGACAGTCCTCAACTCAGTTTTATTGAGAAAAAGGTTGTTAAGATATGATATGGTGTTTTAGAGAAAGCCAGGTGATGTGAGAAAATTTAACTAACAAACAAAAAAAAGTAAAACCACAGAGTGTCACAGGGAAAAGAATTCAAGAAGAAATATACTGACAAGAAGAGGTACAAAGTCAAAAGAAAAATACAGAGAAGAGTATGGTAGCAATGCAGCAACAGCGAATGTTGGCTGGTACGTTCCATGCTGGCCTGAGCATTTCTTTGTGATGTTTGAACAACAAATTGCAATCCCACACATTCTGAGTACTCAGATCTCCTGCCTTTAGCAGAAATATTGAAATTGTAGATCTGCATATGAAAAAGTTACCACCACTGCCACATAGATTAAGGAACAGAGCATGACCACCAAATCGGACAGTAGATCTGGCAGAAGAAAAAAAATATAAAAATAAAATACAGAAATCCCACATTTTCTCTATCCAAACAATGCTAAGCAGGACATAACTGACTAAAAGCAGCCAGTTTGGCAGAGACAGGAGCCACAGTGGAGCCTCTGTAGTATCCAGAATTAGAAAAAACACAGAAAGGTTTTCATAGATACAGTGTCCGAGGAGGTCACAGGCACTTTTCCAGGTTTATTCTCCTGAATTTACGCATAAATTTTGTCTGAAAGGTCGGTTAGGAACTTAAACTTATTTTCAGATTTCACTTCAAGTGGTGAATAATATGCAAACAAATGCTTAGTCAGATGGCTGCTTTTTGAGAAAAGGTTAGAAAAATGTAGCTAATTTAACCTACGGAAATGAATCCCACAAATATGACTTATACAGGAGGAAAGGCATAATGGTTGCAAATCAAATGGAGATAAATTGTCCATGGATAAATTTAGCCTTGAAATTAGAAGACCTTCCTTGCCATTAGTGATTTGTAGTTTGGAGTATGATACAATGGGAGTGTGGTTCGGAGAAACACATTTGATTCCAATATATGATGTGATTGCCAACAAAGTCACTCAATGATTCATGAAATCCTACCAGTATTATAAACTACACTTCTATAATAGTACTCATGAGCAGAATGCATTATACTATTAGCATTAAATAGATTCACAGAATTTAGTTGACTTTAAACATCAAGTTATCTTTCAGCCACGAAGGAGAGATTGTAGAAATCTTCAAAAACTGGTTCAGGTGAGTTTAAAGCATCAACTTATAACAAACAACAGTAAAAAATTCCTGCAGAATAAAGATGTTTGTCAACAGAAGGAGGAAGGGATTACCTTTTTAGCTTAAGAATGCCCTTTTTGTTCAGTAAAGTTGCAGCGATGAGATTATCTGACCAATGCAAAAAAAATTACCATCTTTTACCTTTTCTCACATAAAGATTTTCAGTATGTGATTGAGGAAGACCAAATTATCTCAGCATTTCATTGTCACTAATTGATAAGTTTACTTTTAAGCCATCATAACTATGAAATATGTTATTTTCAACTACCTCTTTTTCTTACACACCGACTGATAAAGGAAGAGAGTTGTAAATACTGCAGCAGACTACCAAAAAAACACAGAGGAATTGGTGTTTCACCCATGTGTCAGGAATTATCTGCTCCTTAATTTTAATAGCGTTGGGACTGCTGAATATTCCACTCGATTATGAACAGATGAAATACAGAATATGACAGCACAAAGATGACCTACTTCAAATGATGACAATTCTTAAATGTGTATGCCCTTATCTTACTTCAAGATACATCTCAACACCTTCAGAAAAAGCTCAAATTTTGTGTATTTTCAGCAACTGCTCTATTTGGAAATTTTTATTTTAGCAATTAAATTTAATAGATAATGGGATTTTCATGCATATAGTGTCTGTGAATACTTTAATTTCCTTTAGTTATTTTGTTGAAGGCCCTTAGAGGCTTAGAATCATGTTGTCAATGCCCAAAAATGTATCACTAGTGTATATATACATCCTCACAAATGCAAAAGAAGCAAAACTGTTGAAAGATAACTGCTTTTTTATTGAGGAAGGGGAACATCACTCTGTTTTTACTCTTCATCTAACTGCACTATAATATGTTTGTTGCTTTTTTTCATGCATAATTATAACAAGTCCTCCTTTGTACTGGTAGGTTTAGCTGTAGGGGTGCTGTTGCCCAAAAGAAAGGAATAAGCCTTCCTCATTCTTACACAGAGAAATTCCTGTCAAGCATTTCACTACCTCTGGTGACCACTTCTTCTGTTACCATGGCAAAACCAACACCACTGAAGGGAAAAACAACAAAGTGAATATAGGCTAACCTTTTGTTTCTTAAACCTTTAAGATATTTTTGAATATTGGCTTGTACAAGAAAATATGCATGAAAATCAGCTTTCTGTCCTTACACATCAATGACAATACAATTTTCATACTAAGCAGTATTCTAATATACAAAGTCCATCTCAGCATGGTTTCAATATTATTTTGGTATCTCATTTCACTCAGAAAAGGTCATTGAGGATTGAGAATTTACTTGAAGGATAAGAAGATATTATTTACATTATAAACATATTTCAGTGTATATCTGACAATCAGAGTCATATGACAATTGCTACAATGACATTCTCTTTCCCAGGTTCTTTTAAGGAGATTCCCAATTAGATGATTAAACCAATTTCACCTTGCTTTCATACAGGACAAATGACCATGCTGTTGTGCATGAATTAACAACAGTATATGACCTCTATTTTCATTATTCTTAACTTGCTTTGATAGTACTGTAGTTCTTCCATTTAGATCATATAGACCATATAAATCCAAGGTTGTGTTACAGTCTGAAGACATAATTTTGTAGTAAACATTCACTTTTATTAAATGGCAATTTACAAACTAGTTCAGTCTGAGCTTTAAAAATATTAGGCTACTGTAATCCTTCTTGGCTATATGTAGATGTTTAGTAGCCTCAGTATGCTCCTTTGTATCCTTTATTACAGCAATCTCAAAGAATAACTGTTTCCTTTGCCTTCTAGCAGCTGAATCATTATTCTCCACACAACTGGTCAGCAGAATACGTGAGTATTCCCATCCCATCATTGTTATTATTTGTTCTGAACTGACAAAATGTCTAGTGTCATGGATGGTACTAAAACAACAAACAATACCATCCCCTGAAGAGTTTGTGGTCTATTCATTTCTGTATTCAATGCTGACTTTTCACAAACAGTCAAAAAAAAATAGGTTTTGTTCAAAAACTAGGGCTTAACTATGGAACTAGATTCTGTAGTAAAAAGAAGATCCACTTTTTTTATCACATCTCACAATATATATTTGATTATAAACTACAAATACAACCTTTTTATCTGAACCTTAATGGATCATATTTATAAACAGCTTTTTTTTTTTTTTATTTTGGTCACTCCCAATAGAAATACAGAGACAACTGATATATATCATTGCTCTGAAAAGTAATTTTGCATTTTGTTTGCTCTTGCAAATCAGATAATCCTAAAACTAATGTGTAGTTCAAATATGCTTTGTAAAAACAAAATTCTGGGGTAAGACAGTTTGAAATACACCTCTCTTTTGTTCCTATTTTATCTATTAATGCATCAATAGTCCTATTGATGAAGAGGGATCCGCATGCTAATTCACATAAATGGAAGAGGTTGATCAAGACTTTAAGTGAAATACTATGGAGGAAGACTGAAATACTGAAAGAATTTTTAAAAAGTGATTTTTTTTACTCCTAGCTCCATCCATAGTCATCTAAACTAAATTTTAAATGCTTAACTGAGGAGCTAAAGTTAGGAACCTGGCTACTCAAATTCAATCCTCATGCTATGGGTTGTTATCTCCAGATATGAACACCACTGGTTGTCTGATTACTGTACCTATTGTTGATTAGGGAGTAGCCAACTGTGCTCCACAGAAACCTCACTTCAAGGATGAATTTGAGATTTGCACAGAGCCTACACTAAGTTCCAAAGATAAACCTTACTCAAAAAAACAGCCTGAAGTAAGGACCTAGATCTGTAACCTGATCATTAAATAAATGGTCTGATTTTTGAAAGCTCTAAATACTTGAAGACACTTCCACTGTCTCCCATTTTTTTCAATTTATCTCTTCTATTTGAACGTTCTCAGTCAGAAACACAGCATGCATGTCTGTTTCTTCAGACTGGTGACCTGTCACTAGTGGGGTTTCACAGGGCTCCATCTCAGGCCCTGTGCTCTTCAACATCTTCATAAATGACTTGGACACAGGACTGGGAGGGATACTAAGGAAGTTTGCAGATGACACAAAACTGGGAGGAGTTGACTTCCTCAAAGGCAGAGAGGCTCTGCAGAGAGACCTCAACAAATTAGAGGACTGGGCAATCACCAGTCGTATGAAGTTCAACAAGAGGAAGTGCTGGATCTTCCACCTGGGATGGGGCAACCCTGGATGTACAGACAGACAGGGGAACGAGATGCTGGAAGACAGTGCTGGGAAAGGGACCTGGGGGTCCTGGTTGATGGTAAGCTGAATATGAGCCAGCAGTGCCCTGGCAGCCAGGAGGGCCAACCATGTCCGGGGGGGGGGCATCAGGCAAAGCATCACCAGCCGGGTGAGGGAGGAGATTGTCCCACTCTGCTCTGCACTGGGGCAGCCTCACCTTGAGTATTGTGGTAGTTTGGGGTACCACAATGTAAGAAATATATTAAGCTATTAGAGAATGTCCAAAGAAGGGTAACGAAGATGGTGAAGGGCCTTGAGGGGAAGCAGTGTGAGGAGTGGCTGAGATCACTTGGTCTGTTCAGCCTGGAGGGATTAAGACTGAGGGGAGACCTCATTGCAGCCGACAGCTTCCTCATGAAGGGAAGAAGAGGGGCAGGCATTGATCTCTATTCTGTGGTGACCAGTGACAGGACCCGAGGGAATGACCTGAAGGAAGGTTGCATATTAGGGAAAGGTTCTTCACCCAGAGGGTGGCTGGACACTGGAACAGGCTCCTCAGGGAAGTGGTCACAGCACTAAGCCTCACAGAGCTCAAGAAGTGTTCAGATGATACTCTCAGTCACATGATGTGACTCTTGGGGAGTGCAGCCCTCCTGTGCAGGGCTAAGGCTAAGAACTGGACTTGATGATTCTTGTGGGTCCCTTTAACTTGGCATGTTCTGTGATTCTGTGCTTCTGTGATTCATCACTTATGTTTATTTTATCATTTCAGTTTATTAGCAATGATTTATGCATAATGTTTGCTTTCAGTGTCATGTGACTGATATATGAATCCTTTAGGTGCCTGAAAACGAAGAGGAAAGGGAACGAAACAAGCAGACCAAAAAATGGGAAGGAAACATGCTATTCTCAAGGAAGCGACCATAGGTCCAGCAAAAAGGGAAGAAAAGGTCCAGCATAAAGGGAAGGAAAATCCCTCACATGGTTTTGGAAAATTATATTCATTATTAGCTACATATACAGCAAGAAGTTTATATGCAACCATTTGCTGATATACTGGTAGCTGCCATGTCAGCAAAGAGATAAAAAAGTAAACAAAGGAAGTAGATATTACACCTGTGCAGAATGGCCATGACTTTGTGCCATATGGTACATGATGAGAAGCCCACAGACCCTCCAGCAACCTCTTGAGCTCTTCCCAATGGACATCTCTCCTAAATACCCTAAAGGAGGAAGTGAGAACCCTACCGACCTCCCTGCTTTAAGATCATGCCATGGGCAGCGTGGAGAGATGGTAGAGCACAGGAGCACAGAAACAGTCACACCTGTCATCTCCTGCAAAAACACTGCCTGCTTTTGCAACATATGGGTCAGAATAACACTTTATCATTAGGTGTGGCCATTTTCACTGACAAGAGCAAATTCCCAAGTTTTGAGGTAATGCAATCCGAAGTCTAGGGAAAAGCAAAGGGAGACACAAGGTGCAGGTGTGAAAGGGGAAACCCAAGTTTTTTAGTCTCTTGGTTTCATCCTCCTTTGAGATTTATCCTGATTATCTCTCAGGAAGACTGTGGTGACACATTTTAAGTAACAATAATCTTTTTTATATGTCCTACTCATTGTTTTGACCTTGCAGTTTCCTGCCTACAATTCTGCCCTTGTGAAGCCACACAATAGGAAATACTGGAAATGTTGTCTTAAAATGAATATGCCATTTAGTCAGCAAGATAATCCTGTCAAACATTGTAACTAAAAAAGGGGAGCATGCTGCGTACTTCCCTAATTTAGCAAGTATGTACAGAAAGAATTAAAAATAAAACATTTTTCTTGGAAAACTTCAGACCAATATTCATTAAAAATTCTTCTCAATATTTCATAGTGAAACATGCTTGCAATCTGTTTAAAAGTATAACATACTGTGATGCTATAGTATGACTTAAAACAGATGTTTTCTTGGTGCAGTGAAAAGCACAAATAAATCCTATATACTCCAGCAATCATGCATAATAAGCCTGAGTTTACTTTCAGGAGACATCATAAAATTATGCAAAGAAAATACCAAATAATCTAAACTCATGTAAGTCTGCCCCAAACCAGTGTACTGCTAAATCTCAATTTAAATATTAAAGATAGGAGGACAAGACAGGTTTTAACCGTTAAGGGGTAAAAAAAAAAAAAAAAAAAAACCCAAAAAAAGACCAGTGAAATGAAGGAACTTATATTTCCTGTCTCATTAGTGGTAATAAATCTTTCATAGCTACTTGGAAGTACGTAAGGGCAATGCCCCAAAATATTGAGTTGAACTATGGTAGGAGTACTCCATTTCCCAATGGACTAGCAATGCAAGTAATAGACACATGCTCTTGCCTCATGACCAGGTTTTGTAGTCAGGGTAAAACCTCAAACTATACCATCTGCAAAATGGAGTTTTTAAAAATATTAACTGTATTTTATGATAAAATATTTGTTTCTTCAAGGCAGAATAAATTTTAATTAAAAATCCATAATTATTTCTAAATAAAAATACCAAACATTTCCAATCTCCTGGAATTCTGTATTAATTACTTAATCTTTTTTTTGCTTTACTCTTGTAAAACTTAGTTTTTCACATGTCTCAAAACACAGATAGAACTACTTTAGTGATTATAAAGTGGGGAAAAAAATCTACACAGATAGCAAAAAATGAAGTGCCTGCAAAAGCAGTTCCCTGTAGTCCTTAGTTGCCCTTTCACTACCTTTTGCTGTCTTCAGAAGGAAAAAGAATCCTCTTGAAGCAACTACATTAGCTCAACTTTAATACTAATTACACAATTACTTATATAGATGATTCAGAATTTTCTCTTGATGAGAGACAGGGGATCCCTCACACGTCTTCAAACAATTGAAGTAAGATATTAAATTTTGCATGACAAGGGCAAATCCATAATCTTACACACAGAAATGAATGATACACAGACAGACGTTCACACACATACACATACATGTAGCTCACTGTAGGAAGCCAAATAAACTCACTCAATATATTAATAGATACTTATGGTCAGAAGGGGCCATTATTCTCAAAAGATTGGATCCTTTAATGCAAGAATCCATTTAGTTTCACCAAGAGTTTTCTATTCTCAACCTTTCAGCATTTCTTAGAAAGAAATGCAAATTTATGGGGAAGGATTTCTCTGTCTTCAAAGTTCCAATAATTACTCCCTCTGTAGAAATTTTTTTACATGTTGACTCTTAGATGGCAAAAAAATACCAAAAAAATTAGTGAAAATATGAATTTTAATTATATTTGTCTTTCTAAAGGATCATAATAAAACTTTAAAGAAGTAATGCAAGACCAAAATTCATGTGATACAAGCTCAGCACTTTCCTACACCATGTAGCTGAACTGTAAATGGATATTATATTCACAGACCCTTTTCGCAACAAATATTGCAGTCACTTTGAAATTAAAATAGCTTCTGTTTTAAACTACACAAAACTCTACAATGGTAATGCTAAAAATATAATAAATATGGCTCTACTTACTTTGAAATCACACATTTTCTATTTCCATTCATTGTGTTGTTATTATTATTATTAATATTATTGTTATGCATTATGTATTTACACTTAATAGTTTTGTACCTCAAGTCAGGTTTGACAAACCTTATTCCTGTGGTTGACATCACATTTGTGTCATTCTTACAATGTCAGCAGAAACTGCACAGAAGGTTATCTTTCATCTTGAAAGCATGGTCTGTCTTCAACCACGTTTTCAAATGGTATTTGATTCTAAAATGTCCTTAGCAAACTTTTAGAAAAATTGCAAAATGCAGAAAAGTTTTAGAAACATTTTAAAATACTTCTAATATAAAATGTTACTGGGTTCTAAGGTTAGCTGCTTTTTCTTCTCCATTGATAAGAACCCATCTGTCCTTTCAGAAGTAAATAGTTCTCTTACTTTAGTTCTACATCCAAACTATTAACATCTGTCACAAGAAAACAACCAAAATTTTAATTCTCCAAACCTTAGACTGAATTCCATCTTTTTATCCCCTATTAAAAATCTCAAAGTGGCATAAAACCCCCCAAACCTTGCAAATAAGAGCAACATTCATTTGAAGTTTTATGTTGTCAAATGTGTTGCTTTTATTCAGAATAGACTGATCTTATTTTCTCATTAAAAGTCAATTTTCAAGTCTTAATTAATCTTGAAGCACTTGCTCAACCCTTGAAACACTTTTCTAAAGAACCTGTTTGCATCATAGATAACACAATATGATGTAATCATCCAGGAAGAGTGATACTAAAGTCAGCTTCTAATTAATTTAATTGTAGGTTCTCCATTAAGTCAAGAACAAACATCTGGACATAAAAATGACAAAGAAGTCAATAGCTCTCAGTGGTTTGATGAAAAGTCAAAATCATGCTTTTTTTTTTCTGGAAAAGGCTTGTTAATGAAAAAAATGTGTTCATCTTGGTTCTGTAGAGTATAACAGCCCAAACTTGTCCAATGGAATTCCGGTTGTTAAAGTAAACTGAGAGTCTTACCCTGATAGCACCTCCATTGTTCTATGCAAAAATACTGAGAAAAATGATACATCTATTTTTATTGTTGGTTTTTTTTTTTCTTCAGAGACAGACAGAGTTTTCTTTGCTATTTATAACCTCTCCACTCTCCCCAGGATATTCCTACAATGAATAGTCTGAAAGCAATGAAATAACTACATTGTACCACAAAAAACTCTCCTGTGGAATGGACTTTGCGATGATCTCTAAATCTTCTGATTTTTTAAAGATTATCACAATTTCCAGAAAAAAAAACAAACATACAACCTAACAGCCTTTTGGTAAAAAACATTCAAAATAATTGTTTAGCTCTTGCCTTTGTGGCACCTGAACAACTCAGTTAGTTTACTCTTACCTTAATTCATCATTTATAAAACCAGTATATAATTTTTAAATGTTTGGTCTATTGGTTTGTTTTTTCTTCTAAAGAGAAGAAAATTCTATTCCATCTTTGGAATAGAAACTTATAGTTTTATGTAACTACATAGTTTACATTAGGAATTCTCATTTATATTCTAACTTTTTTCTTCAATCATGTATAGCGTGTAAGCCAATTTGACAAAAAAATTAAAAAACCTATCCTTTGGTAAAATAGGTATCTGCCTGAATAAAAAAAAAATTAATTATACTATAATTTGGTAGAAATTTTAAATAACCACAGACAGCAAGAGCCTTTGTTACCATCTGTTATAGAGAGTTGCAGACATAAATGCATGAAGAGTGTATTACAGAGATCATAACTCCAGATGTATGGCACAGAGAATTCACATTGCATCCTAAAACACAACAGAAATTATCATATCTGTATTATAGTCCATGTAATCAATTCCCAAACCTTTGACACTAGAATAATATGCAGTGTGCTAGTAAAATGAGCCATTTATGGAGCTCTCTTCAGAAAACATCTCTAAGCAATGAAGTGGAAAGTTCACATCTGTCTTCAAGGGCAGAACTGGAAGCAGTTTCCAGTGTGCAGAAGTGAATTTTTTTGTACATCAAACCAGCTAAAATTATGTCCTCCAATCATCTGAATTTAATATAAATCCAGTCCTTCGGAAACAACCTTTTTTATTTAAAGATGGTACTTGGATACAACCATTCTAATTATTCTGCAAAAACGACTAAGCAGACTTTTTTTTAAAAAAAACCTCGAATTTTTACTGCTGCATTTTCAGTTATTTTGTAGTATAAATTTAGTGTCATGTAAGCCACCTAAAAAAAAAAAATCCACCTGAAAAGTGTTTAAATTACACTGGTATCTGTAAAAAAAAATAAATTTGTGATGACAGTTATTTCAATTGACTATTATTCCATAATCGTGTTTGGGAAGTTAAACCATACCCAAAATGCCTCCCTAGACCCATAAAATTCACCATTCTTGGGTTTGTGTTGGAGATCTTATTGTTGATTGAACATTTACCTATGTAACCAATATGACAGATTAATTTTATCATGGTATTTATCAATGTTTTGCTTAAATCATCCTGA